ATGTCACTTAAATTAACAAATACAGTATACTATATTTGTAAGTGAATACAGTATACATTACAGTACTATACAGCAATGGAAGACACATTCTGATTATTGCATCCCATACCTGGAGTTTACCTGGAGAGAGTTCCGGAGGTCAACGCCCCTGCGGCCCGGTCTGTGACCAGGCCTCCTGGTGGATCATAGCCTGATCAACCAGGCTGTTACTGCTGGCTGCACGCAAACCAACGTACGAGCCACAGCCCGGCTGGTCAGGAACCGACTTTAGGGGCTTGTCCAGTGCCAGCTTGAAGACTGCCAGGGGTCTGTTGGTATCCCCTTATGTATGCTGGGAGGCAGTTGAACAGTCTCGGGCCCCTGACACTTATTGTATGGTCTCTTAACATGCTAGTGACACCCCTGCTTTTCATTGGGGGGATGTTGCATCGTCTGCCAAGTCTTTTGCTTTCGTAGTGAGTGATTTTCGTGTGCAAGTTCAGTACTAATCCCTCTAGGATTTTCCAGGTGTATATAATCATGTATCTCTCCCGCCTGCATTCCAGGGAATACAGGTTCAGGAACCTCAAGTGCTCCCAGTAATTGAGGTGTTTTATCTCCATTATGTGTGCCGTGAAGGTTCTCTGTACATTTTCTAGGTCAGCAATTTCACCTGCCTTGAAAGGTGCTGTTAGTGTGCAGCAATATTCCAGCCTAGATAGAACAAGTGACCTGAAGAGTGTCATCATGGGCTTGGCATCCCTAGTTTTGAAGGTTCTCATTATCCATCCTGTCATTTTTCTAGCAGATGCGATTGATACAATGTTATGGTCCTTGAAGGCGAGATCCTCCGACATGATCACTCCCAGGTCTTTGACGTTGGTGTTTCGCTCTATTTTGTGGCCAGAATTTGTTTTGTAATCTGATGAAGATTTAATTTCCTCGTGTTTGCCATATCTGAGTAATTGAAATTTCTCATCGTTGAACTTCATATTGTTTTCTGCATCCCACTGAAAGATTTGGTTGATGTCTGCCTTGCAGTGTCTGCAATGGAAGACACTGTCATGCAGATTCGGGTGTCATCTGCAAAGGAAGACACGGTGCTGTGGCTGACATCATTGTCTATGTCAGATATGAGGATGAGGAACAAGATGGGAGTGAGTACTGTGCCTTGTGGAACAGAGCTTTTCACTGTAGCTGCCTCGGACTTTACTCTGTTGACTACTACTCTGTGTTCTGTTAGTGAGGAAATTGTAGATCCATCGACCGACTTTTCCTGTTATTCCTTTAGCACGCATTTTGTGCGCTATTACGCCATGGTCACACTTGTCGAAGGCTTTATGTTTGGATATCAGGCTGGAAAATTAGAATTTATAGAACAATGTCTTTATAGTCAAACACCACAAATTCAGAAACATCAGAACCGGAGACATTCTGAAATCTGGGTCATTCTCATAACACCTTGAAAATCCTAAGGAAAATGTTCAAGGGGAAAATATCCAAGACAAAACATTACAGCACAAATAAAACAAAAAACGATATTCACCAATACCTACTATCCTTATCCTCTTGAAAACCATACACAGCATGTGAATCATGTGTTAGGTAAGATTGCAAGGTGAAGTTTTTTTTTCAACAAACTGGTTATATCCCACTGAGGTGGGGTGACCCAAAAAGAAAAACAAAAGTTCTTCTTTTTAAAGTTAGTAATTTATACAGGAGGAGTTACTAGCCCCTTGCTCCCTGCAGGGTAAAGTATCAGTGTTAAAATCTGAAAGTGAATCAATTTTGCCACTGCCACATGACATCAGGTATACCCACATTAACACTCACTCAACACTCAAGTTCCAGCAGGGGCATATTTCTGGGTGTGCTAGGTGAGCACTGCACATCCACCAAAGATAGTAAATTCATCATAAATATTAAGCTCGCTCAGTAATACAATTATTTATTTATTATCACACTGGCCGATTCTCACCAAGGCAGGGTGGCCCGAAAAAGAAAAACTTTCACCATCATTCCCTCCATCACTGTCTTGCCAGAAGGGTGCTTTACACTACAGTTTTTAAACTGCAACGTTAACACCCCTCCTTCAGAGTGCAGGCACTGTACTTCCCATCTCCAGGACTCAAGTCCGGCCTGCCGGTTTCCCTGAATCCCTTCATAAATGTTACTTTGCTCACACTCCAACAGCACGTCAAGTATTAAAAACCATTTGTCTCCATTCACTCCTATCAAACACGCTCACGCATGCCTGCTGGAAGTCCAAGCCCCTCGCACACAAAACCTCCTTTACCCCCTCCCTCCAACCTTTCCTAGGCTGACCCCTACCCCGCCTTCCTTCCACTACAGACTGATACACTCTTGAAGTCACTCTGTTTTGCTCCATTCTCTCTACATGTCCGAACCACCTCAACAACCCTTCCTCAGCCCTCTGGACAACAGTTTTGGTAATCCCGCGCCTCCTCCTAACTTCCAAACTACGAATTCTCTGCATTATGTTCACACCACACATTGCCCTCAGACATGACATCTCCACTGCCTCCAGTCTTCTCCTTGCTGCAACATTCATCACCCATGCTTCACACCCATATAAGAGCGTTGGTAAAACTATACTCTCATACATTCCCCTCTTTGCCTCCAAGGACAAAGTTCTTTGTCTCCACAGACTCCTAAGTGCACCACTCACCCTTTTCCCCTCATCAATTCTATGATTCACCTCATCTTTCATTGACCCATCCGCTGACACGTCCACTCCCAAATATCTGAATACATTCACCTCCTCCATACTCTCTCCCTCCAATCTGATATCCAATCTTTCATCACCTAATCTTTTTGTTATCCTCATAACCTTACTCTTTCCTGTATTCACTTTCAATTTTCTTCTTTTGCACACCCTACCAAATTCATCCACCAATCTCTGCAACTTTTCTTCAGAATCTCCCAAGAGCACAGTGTCATCAGCAAAGAGCAACTGTGATAACTCCCACTTTATGTGTGATTCTTTATCTTTTAACTCCACGCCTCTTGCCAAGACCCTCGCATAATGGGAAACAAATTTTTCTGTTCCCTGTTATGAAATATTGTGGCAGTTGTGAGACAGCACTACACTCCCACTGTGGCACTAATCACTATACACCACTGCTCACCAGTAATTATGTGCCTTACTAAGTGCTATCATGTACCTTGTGTTAGGCATGGTTATGAGATGAAATATTGGCAAAAAGCACAAAGTCCTTGAAAAATGAGTCATGACATCAATATTACCTGGAGATTACCTGAAGAAGTATGTTCTCTTTAACCCTCTTCTTATCACACTCTACCTTGTAATTATATACTTTACCATGCACCAGCATATACATAAAACTTACAGCCACATAGTTCTATAATTATACTTTACAGTCAAAACCTACTAGATGGAATTAGTCATCTGCATTTTGTGGGGAAGCAACTACTGTAGCTGATGGTGGCTGAAATGCCTTAAAAAGACACTTGCTTCATGTCTTCCTTTTCATCCAATATAAACCTACTGGGGCTGTGGGCAAGCTAATGGTTCAATTACTCACCATGCCAAGTACAGAGCATCAGAATGCCTCTGAAATAAATGGCCTTATCATTTTCAGAATACAGTAGCAAAATGACTATTAAAATTATACAAGAAATCAGATTCAGAAGTTTTGGTGTTCAAGTGCAGGGGATTTTCTTTATTTCGATAAAGTTCACATTTTGTTTTCATACTGTGTCATAATGATTAACACAGCTATAAACAATAATTAACATTCTGTCTCTTGATTTAGTTTCCTTCAACAATTTAAATTTTTATTTATACTTGTCTTTTTAATTTGTTTATGTATGCCATGGCAGTTCTTTCTTTTATTTAATTTAGAGTTGTACTTGGTGTTTTAATGGTGTGTACCTGTATATTTGCAGTTCTCATCAATTTTTATTCTGCATGAATGAATTTCTCCCCCCTTTCTCGGACCTAATATTACTTGGTTTATCATGTTTCATTACATTTTGTTACACGTTGCTTATTTTGTGGTATCTCCAACTAAATGTTATTTTTTTTCATTGAATTTTTAGTGAAAACACAATATTTTACTATATGTGTATTGGTGATTTATAAAGCCAAATTTTGGGGCCTTTCTAATGTTGATCTTATAATAATACAGTAATAATAATAATAATAATCATAATAATAATAATAATAATAATAATAATAATTATTCTACAAGTACATGTACAAGGTATACAGACCTAGTTGAAATCAATGACATACTACTATACAGAAAGCCCCTTGTTGTGCAAAGCATTTCGGGCAAATTAGGTCAATTTTTTCCCAGGATGCGACCCACACAAGTCGCCTAACACCCAGGTACCGATTTTCGTGACAGGTGAACATGGACAGCAGGTGTCTTAAAGCAACACGTCCTAATGTTTCCACCTATATCAAGGATCGATCCCCAGACCTCAGTGTGTGAGTCGAGTGTGCTAGCAATTGATCTACAGGAAACCACCAAACTTGAGAGGGAGTGGAGAGGTTGGGAGAGGGATAAAGAGTTGTATTAATTTGTAATTTGTGTGAAATGCTATACAAAATTATAATACAGTACCTGTAAAATAGCTATTTTAATAGACTGCAGATTTTGGAAAATTGTTACCAAAATTGCAACTAGTTTTGTCTGACTTTTTTTGGGTTATCTTAGATAATTCACTCATATTACTGTGTGTGACAACTGTAATCACCAAAATTTGCTTAACTGTACGTATGCATAACTGTCCTAAATAAACTTACCACAGATGTAAAAATCATAATTATTAAAACATTTTCATTTACAAAATTGAAAAAAATTAAGGGAAATACTGATTTTAAAGCCATGATGCTGAACTTAATGAGTGTCATTAATGACACTCATTAATAATAATAATAATGATGATTAGAAAATGACAGAGGACTCTTACTATGATATTCTATAAGATCTTTCATTAAAGAGAAGATTCTACAGAGAAAAGAAACTAACCAGCGAGTTCCCGCGAAGAACGTGAATCTGTGGGTTTGGCTGAGTGAGGTGATGTTGCTGTTGGTGCTGTTGTTGGTGCTGTTGTTGGTGCTGTTGTTGGTGCTGTTGTTGGTGCTGTTGTTGGTGCTGTTGTTGGTGCTGCAGTTGGTGCTGTTGTTGGTGCTGATAGTGTTGATGCTGCTGTTGTTGATACTGTTGATGATACTGTTGTTGCTGTTGCTGTGGCTGCTGCTGCTGATATTGTTGCTGAACACCCAGGTGTGCCTGTGTCATATGCTGAGGAACTTGTGGGGGCTGCTGGGTCATATGTGGGGGAACTTGTGGGGGCTGTTGAACCATGTGCTGAGGGACCTGGGGGGGCTGCTGAACCATCTGTTGAGCGAGCTGTGGGGGCTGTTGAGCCATCTGTTGAGGAACCTGGTGGGGCTGCTGAACCATCTGTTGAGGAACCTGGTGGGGCTGCTGAACCATCTGTTGAGGAACCTGGTGGGGTTGTTGAACCATCTGTTGAGGGAGCTGTGGGGGCTGCTGAACCATCTGTTGAGGGGGCTGTGGGGGCTGCTGAACTACATGCTGGGGCTGTACTGGTGGTGGGGAAGCCAGAGGTGGTGGTGCTGGGGGACTGCAAGACTCTGGGGGAGCTGGCAGGGGTGGCTGTGGGTGAAGGAAGAGATGTGTATAACTTTCTATAGTAACAGTAAATCCTATAGCTGATTAAATATGGTAAATTGTCATAAAATATAAAATAAAGTACATACTGTATTTTCTGGCACATAAGATGCAGTTAAAAGATTGTCAAGTTGCCTTACATTCAATATAAGCAAAGATAAAAATATAGCTGTACCATGGAAAAAAAATGTTCAAACAGCTATTTTATATAATGCTGAGGAGAATAAAACCCTTATGGGGTCATACAGCACCTGGGGAACAAAACAAAACTCTTAGGGGGTCACACAGGGGTCATACAGCACCTGGGGAATGGGAGTCAATTGGGGATGAGCCAAGGAAATAGAGGATTGGCCCAATTTCTTGGATTAAGAGCCACCTCCTCACAGGCATCAGAGGGTTTGAGAGTCGAAGGTATCCCCTCAAGGGAGGCTCCTTGATGACAGTAAGGGGCTTTTGATCCAAGGAAGTGAGCCTGACATACCCTTCCTTCATCAATAAGACATAATATATGCAATTTAAGGTATTTTATTGAGAAGATATTACCTGACTCACAATTATTCTATTCACAGGGAGCGCTAAACCTATACAAGTCATACAACACCCAGGAGACATTCAAGTTTGATCTAAGAAAGGGGAGGGCAGGTCCAAGTCCTTGGATCAAGAGCATCTCAGCAGCATCAAGGGAACTCCCTTGAGGGGTCGTCCACCAAAAACTTTATTTTTCTGGAGAACTGATAAAGAAGCGATTATTATCGTATTTAGTGGGAAGCACTAAACCTGAAGGGGTCATACACCACCTGCATTATTGAAATCTGATTTGATGTAAAGAAAAAGAATTGATGAAGTCTCATGTGATGGAAACGTTTTTCCAAAAGAGTTTTTTCACCTGACGTCATCAATCTGCAGGTTGGCTATGTTGGTTATGTCCAATTATGCACGTGTTTAGAAGTGTGAGGTTTTTACAAATTATTTTGATAATTGACTGTTAGTTAATTTGCTTTCAACACAAAAACATTATGATATACTGTAGTTATTGGTTGTCGTAATAGGTTCCATCGTGAGCCACATTTAAAGTATTACAGATTCTCTTTACTAATGTGATTAAAAAACCAAGGTGATGCATGCAAAAATTTATAAGAGGACAGAAGACAGGTGTGAATGTATAATAAAACTCTGGGGAAAAAAAAAATCTTGAAAAGATAACTGTGCTCATATTATATCAGATAAAACCTGTACATTTTAGCATACTGTATTAAACATCAGTGACCTGTCATACTGGTAATGGTAGACAAGACTTGTAGCAGTGCATTTATGTTAGAAAAATGTAGAATAGGAAAAGATACTGGGAAGTATGTACTGGTTTGGCAATAAAGTTGTAGACGAGGGAAAGAAACTCCCAGGTAATAATAATAACAATAATAATAAAAATAATAATAATAATAATAATAATAATAATTTTATTTCAGCATGATGCATGTTTGTACCAGAGGAATATAACAATTGGGTGTACATGCCAAAAGCACCTTTATATGCAGAGCATTTTGGGCAAACTTAAGACTAACTTAAGATTAATATGACAATAACAGTGCAGTAATTTTGTACATATGGTCATAAGGTGAGTTAGTATCATTGAGGTAAGAACTTTGGGCAGCTTTAAATATAGGTTGAATGGGAACATGAGTGGGTGTGGGTGTGTGATATGGACTTGCCTAACATGGATCAGTATGCCTCCTGCAGTGTTCCTTTGTTCTAATGTCACTTTGACGCCCCTGGGCTGTGGGGCATTGACCCCCAGAACACCCTCCAGGTATACCACCCACCTATCACCCCCACTGACCTATCACCCTCACCCATCCATCACCCACCTATCACCCCCACTGACCTATCACCCTCACCCATCCATCACCCACCTATCACACTCTCACCCATCCATCACCCATCCCCCCCCTGCTATATTTGCACACATAACAAAAACATAGAAAATATTCTTTGCACTAAAGGAGAGGTGTGGGATACATCATTGATTTTCTCAGCTGACTAGAATATTTCTTGTGGTCTGGGGCTCTCTAGGGTCTAGACCATTATTGTGGTCTGGGGTTGGTTTAGGATCTAGACCATTTCTTGTGGTCTGGTGCTGGTCTAGATTAATCTTGTATCATAAGTATAATAAATAAATAAATAAATAAAAAATAAATAAATAAATAAATAATAAATAATAATAAATAAATAAATAATAAATAAATAAATAAATAAATAAATAAATAATAAATAAATAAATATAAATAAATATAATAAATATAATATATATATATATATATATAAAATATATATATATATATATATATATAT